ATGGTAGGCCTATGGTAACTGGAAACTTTTCATGTAAATTTATCAAACGGTTTATTAGTAATACATATTCTTTCTTCAAATTATTTTAAAGTATTCACTAATAATTGTTAACAACACTGTAATCAAAAGGTCTAATTCGTTTATTTTGTTCGGTTTTTAATATTTTATTGCACTTTTGAAGATGTATAGACAATTGCGTGGTATGTTGTTATCGAATTAGTTGAACAAGATTGAATGAGTCTATGTCCGATTAAATACATAAGTGCTTGTTCCAGAGCAGTGCTTAACGAATATTTGGACTGTGTTAACAGGCGTGTTATTGTGTCTGTAGCACTTGTTGCAATGTTTTAATATTCATGATAGATCCGTAGTTCATTATTGGTTCCGGTGATACATAACATCAAGTCACGTTAAGTAATTTTATCACTTTCGAATAACAGCAACTTTTATTCAAAATAGAATACAATAAGCTCCACAGCGCTTATTCGAGAATGGTGCTTACTTGAGAAAATGTGAATGTTCAATCAGATCAAGCACGTTGTTTAAATCTATATAGCAAACTTCAATGGAATAGAATTTAGTAGACCTAAAATTAGATCTTTTAGTAACTACGTCTATAGCTTGTTATATGCGTATCAAGAATATGCCAGTAACCTGTAACCTTGGTGGTATAAAGTTATTTATTATTTCATTGTTAGGACTATAAGTACGGTATTTTGAAACCATTATATATTTAAATATTCATTTTTTTGGTGTTTGTTACTATTCTTTTCTTACCCTTTATAATAAAAACCGTTCCCTTTGGATGCCTTGATAATAACGCTATTAATAAATACTGTAATACATTCAAATCAATTTCATTGTTAGGACTATAAGTACGGTATTTTGAAACCATTATATATTTAAATATTCATTTTTTTGGTGTTTGTTACTATTCTTTTCTTACCCTTCATAATAAAAACCGTTCCCTTTGGATGCCTTGATAATAACGCTATTAATAAATACTGTAATACATTCAAATCACGTAAATGAAGAATTAATTGATTCTGCATCTGTCTTTCTAAATGTTTTTAATGCTTTTTGATTGCTTTTGATATGGAGTTTCCGTCAAATTTTATTAATTTTAAACCACGACAAGCAACATCTTTTAAACCACGACAAGCAACATCTTAATATTTTTAGCATTTATAAAAGTTTTTTTTAGCATTTGTTATACATTTCTTAACATAGGCCTCAATGGGATCTAGCAAATCTTACTTTTTAAATGATTTCATCTGTTTAATGTTAGTAATTGTTTTTTATTGAACGCACCTCAGATGCGGCCGGGTGTTACTGTTACAAAAGTGCAGCTTCAATAAATTATTATAACAAATGCAATAGGACATCTGTCCCTATAGGCCTATCTTAATTGATTACTGACTCATTGATATATTGGTATGAATATCCTGTCACCATTTCATTCAGATATCAACGTGACAACTTTGTCTTTGACATCAAACTTCCAAAACTTCTCCTATAACGTTGTTATAATACAGTATAAACCTCATTATTTAGGCCTACATTATTTTAGTAACACGCTTCTATTCTAAAATATGTCGTTAAGGTGCAATTAACGAGCCATTACCTTAGTTTTTATTGCCAATCAAGTTTGCATACGTTTTTATATTATTTTACGCCAAAGGAGTTTTACAATTACTTGTTAAAAAATATGTTTGTAAGGCTTATTACGCGATGTCTAATGCCCTTGCATTATCCCCACAGAAATACACAACCAATTATCATTGAACATCGACTGTTCTGAGTAGTAAGTGATGTAGTCGCAGTAGTGTTGCTTACGTAAGTGCGCGTGTCCATATTAATCTATGTGTGAACCAGACTTTCTACACTACCGCCGCCTACGACATTCACCACAGTCGATTTTCAATGTGAACCAGCATTTCCGCTTACTGGCGCCAACTTTTGGGTGTACGGCTGCGTTTATGGGAGTACGTGTCCAGGCCCGTATCCGGGGGGGTGGTTTATGGTTCGGGAGAACCCCCCTTTTCTAGCAAACCCCACTTTTTTTTTCTGGCGAAACTCCCTCTTTAAATTTCCCAAATAAGTCCTCCATCCCAACTAATGCACTGCAGACCCACCCAGACACAGACATTTTCAAATATATCTGCTTTTATAGCATTATTTAGACCCATAAAGCACAAAAATCC